AATTCATTTCGTAACGTTTCTTTCAGCTGCTAGAGCGAGAATTTTCTTTCAACCTTTCACTTTATTTTCAAAAGAAAAACCAGTTAAATCCCTAATTTTAATTCGTTATTTGCCTCCACTTAGATTTTCTTTTTCCTCGCTTGCTCAATTTACTTCTTGCTACTCCAAAAATTGTTATTTAAGGAGTCCCCATTAGCAATGTAGATTGCGTAAATTTGACGTTTCCCTTTTGCAGCATCTTGTTAACGCAAGGAACTTTGCAAAAATAGATGTTACTGAATGCGATTGAATGGTAATTTGATTTTGATAATATCAATACTGGTGATATGATCGAGAATAAAGTGTCTTTCTTTGTTCGATTTGATGATATTTGATACAAAAAAGCTTAGTGTTAAACGCAATGGAATGTTTGATCACATTCATTTTTTAAAAGTTACAACTTTTTATATTATATTATTTATATTTCTGTATGGAAATTTTCATAAAATTGTGCATGATGATATGACATAAAATTATAGAAGATGTTAATTATAGACAATATAATTTTCGCGACAAAAATTCAAGGGGTTATTCTTTGGACTATTCTAAGAATATTTTGACCTTTAATAATTTTTGAAAATCCGCTTTGTTTTAAAGATATAGGCAAAACAAAATTTTCAGAAGAACCATTTTTGACATTTTTAAAGTTACTAATGTAGCCGAAATAGAAGAAATGATATTGAAAAGAAATGCAGTTTATTTAGTACAAAATATTTTGTTATTTTAATTGAATACATCTCTCCATTGATGACTTAGTATATGTGGAATTTATCGAGACAGAATGACGTTTGGTTATTATTTTTTTTATTATTACTTTATTAACTACTGTTAATAAAGTTCTGTCATGAATCGCTATATGAACGCCGAGATGACTGACATGCATTTTATTTATGAGCTTGCTGCTGGTAACTCATTGAAAGCTAGGCGGTTGTACATTGACCGATTTCCCCACCGTAATATTCCTGATTGAAAAACCTTCCAAGTATTCATCAACGTCTTAATGAAAGAAAGTGGAGGATCAAGAAGGCCAATAATAGTCAGAACGGCAGAACTGGAAGAGAATGTGTTGAATATAATAGAGGTACAACCAGGCATTTTTACTGGAAAAAAAATGGGACTGTTTGGAAAATTCTTAAAAATTATTTGTTGTACCTATACCATTTACAACCCGTTCAAGCACTCTTGGGCAAATTAGTTCAAATCCCTTAACTACTGACTTTGATTCTTTTTACTGATGAGTGAATTTTTCAAGAAATGTAATAACGAATTTGCACAATAACTATGTGTGGGCTGAAGAAAAACCACATGAGCTAAGTGAAGAACGATTTCAACATCAGTTCTCGTTAAACGTTTGGGTTGGAATTGTGGGTAACTGGCTAGTTGGTCCAGTATTTCTACCAACAAAACTTACCGGCAAAGTATATTGCAATATTTTGGAACATACGTTACATCAGTTTCTAGAGAATGTACTATTGGCAATAAGAAATTCAATGTGGTTTATGCGCGATAGTGCACCAGCGCATTTTAGTAGAATTGCTCGTGAGTTTTTGATAGTAACATATGCAGATCTGGATTGGTCGCCGTGGACCGACTTGAGGAGGTCTTCGTGTTCATCACCATCTTTCATGTTCTGCAAAGCTCCCAGCCATCCTCTCTGTTGACATTATTTCTATGTCGGTGGATCTCTATGGCTTCTCTTGTCAGTCGCTGGTGATATCTGTTGTCCCTAGCCAGCACCTTTGTTTGGTCGAAGTCTATTTGGTGTCCCTTTGCATGGCAATGTTCCGCAACCGCCGACTGCTGGATCTTCTTCATGCTCCTTGATGTAAAGACGCACGGCAAAACCCGAAATCAATTCAATCTTCAATTTTTGTTTACACTTTTTCATAGGAAAATTGTGACGACTTGCGAAATCGTATAATTGCTGGCTGTAATTCAATAAGAAACGATCCTGGTGTTGTTGAAAGAGTTCGGCACTCAATGAGGAGACGATTGGATTCTTAGCTGGAGGTGGTCATTTTTAACAGTTATTAGAAAAAATGTAAGCTTTATTTCAGCTTAGATTAGAAAGCTTATTTTGTAATTTTTAGTAATAAAATGTTGTTGTTGTTCTCTGTCTTTGGACTATTCTGAGAATAGTCCAACGAATAACCCCTTGATGTTTTGCCGCATGTTTAATAAATACCCAGTATATAAATTGGATATTCATAATATATTACAAATATGGGTAAGGATATAGTGGCGAACAAAAGTCTACATACAGCATTGAATAGTATTACAGTGTGATTACAGATACTTTCTTATTCACAAATAATACAAAAGTTAATAGAACAAAAGTTTACATACACAGTAGTTTTTTACTAAAAATAAATTATTAGGTCCATGTAACGACAGTTTTTAAAACTGAATATTTCGTTGGCCCTCCATGAGCTTCTATAACAGCACGCAGACGTCGTGGCATTGAAGCAACTACGTTTGTTGTCTCTTCTGCTGTTATTTCAGTCCAAGATTCGACTAACGCAGATTTCAGTGTTTTCCAATCTGTGATTTTGCGCTTCCGGATCTTACGTTCCCAAAGCTCCCAAACATGCTCGATTGGATTTAAATCCGGATTTTGAGGAGGTGTATTCAATTGCTTGGGTGCATAATATAGCAACCAATGTTTGATAAGGGGTCATTTTCTTCCATCAGTATTCCACTGATGGCTTCAAATTTTGTTCTAAAATATTTGTATATTTATACCGATACATAATTCCATCAATGAATGGCAGTTTTCCTACACCAAATGCTGTTATCGCTTCCCAAACCATGACACTACCTCCGCCGTGTTTTACCTGTATACTGCCTGTTGGTAAATCCATCGTAATGGCATTTCTTCATCGACGTATGGATACATGATGTTTTGTAAAATATCTTCTATATACACAAATCGATTCATTATGCTATTTATTCGATGTACTATTATTAACACTATTACAACCCAACACTATTACCCGAAAAACAACCCCAAACTCCCACCGCCATGCTTCACACTTGCTTTATAGTAACGTGGATCCAGCCTTTTATTTACAAGCTGTCTTACGTGGAACATGTTGTCTAAATCTATCATGTTGAACTTTGATTCACCACTGAACAACAACGTATTCCACTTCTGGATGGTCCAATTTAAATGTTCTTTTGCAAAAGCCAATCGACTAATTCTTTGCTTTTGTGAAGATCTTCATCAAGTTGACTCTTTATTTTACTAGCAGGCAAAAATGGGTTAATCTGACATTTTCCTTTAATCAAATCTTCCTTTTTAGTTGAATTCGTGGGCGGCCACAACGTAATGTGCTAACTACTATACGTCTTTCATTGTAGCGTTTGATAATCCTTGATATAATTGATTTATTTATGGCAAACTGGGAGCTAATGACACTTTGAGGTGTACCTGTCTCAAACATTTTCACAATTTGCACTTTAACATCTGCACTGTATGTCTTCCAGGGTATTGTACTACAATGTTTTAATTAACGATGCATGGGGTCAGGCAGTGGTTTGTAAACTGTGTGTAATACAATCTATATGTCGCAGGTAAATGATTGGTTCAGGTAAATAGCTTTTTCCTAGTCAGATACTATCTACCTAGGCATCTATCAGTTATTTCAGTATATGTCTAAAATATTTTCAGGCAAATAGCAGAATGTAAAGTATTTAATTGCGTATTATAATTTAACATGAATTAAACCTTTAAAATACTTTTGAAAATTTTTTCAACAACTCCCCATTAACATTTTTATATTATACAATTGTGAGTACTCATAACACAATAACAAATTGTCCACAGATAAATTATCAATAACATAACAAATGCATATATGGAGTAAATCTTTTCAAAAATATTTCTGGCTAACGTAAATTAAAGCCCAAGCCTTCTGTATGCTACTTATCTTAATAATCTCTACTACTTTATTTTATTGTGAACTGGTACCTACTCTATATTGCATTGTTGTATCGAAAAACTGGTATTTGCCTAAAACAAGCTTAGACAAATACTATTTGTCTTGTCCAATAGTATTTGTCTAGACATTTAATGATAAAACTGTAACGAACTACTGTTTGCCTAGGCAGACAGTATCTGACTAGAAAAAAGCTATCATATCAGAAAAATAAGGACTTCCCCGACGTCTACTATGAGAAGTTGCCTAACTTTAGTCGTGTCAACTTATTATGATTTGACTTATTAAGTATTTATTGTTCTGGAAAAAATCATTTTGTTTGGTGCTGAATTGCCGAAATCTTATCTGTGTTAAATTTCTTTACAGTAGGATATGTATTTTTAAATCTTTAGTGTTCATTATTGTAGGGTTGCTTAATTTATGTCAGTCACTGTAGACTTTTGTGCGTCACTGTAGTTTTATGGTAACATCAACTTTATTAATTAGTTAACACAATGAAAAAGTTTTTCTTTATTTCTGCATGAATTTTTCAAACTTGATGATAATTTTTTATAGAGTGAAAATCTTTAATTTCTATATATTGAATATCTCAAGTATTTTTCTTTGTAAAATGGTTTGTTTACATTTTAGTTCCCGGAGTTGGGAGGAGAAACGCCAACACGAAAACACCTATAGCAAGCGTGTTCATCATTAAAGAAATAAACCCCATTGAAAACAATTTGTTAAAAGTCAAATGAACCAAAACTAAACTTTATTCGAAAAACATACAGACATCTGGAAGTATGTGTGTATGTTATAAAATGCGGTACGAAAACCGTTCACGTAATCTGATTTCTCGTTCTCTCTTTTTCCTCCTCTTTGTCTCATAGACAAACATAAATACCGGACGAGGGAGACGAGAAATTTTCAAGACGAGACAAGACGGGAACAGAAAACACTCATTTTCAACGTAAAAATTTATAAAAACGACTAAAACATAACGCGTCAACAAACGCTAAAGAAAAGCACCAAAACCAATCTTACCTTTCATTTACGTGCATATTATTCTCATCCATTGCGGTTAAATTATATCAATGACATCACTTCTTATGAGACCACAATGCCCGAATAGAAGTGCACACATTTTTTTTTATAGAACGAATGGACGAACAAGACACACACAGAAAAACGGCACAAGAAACTTGTTATAGCGGACAACTTACAAAGCGAAGGCACCGATTTCGTTAACCGTCGCTTTCGTTTGCGAACACGGAATCACAATGCATAAGGCACACTGTATATCTCCGGATTAATTCAAATAAGTAATAAGGAATCATTAGTTGACCAACAAGTGTTAGCCATCTTGTTTTTGTAAATAGCCCCTCCGTTCAAGCATCACGATGCTCGATTGTACGATGGGTTGCATAATCTTTAGGGGATTATATTACTCGGATGAGATCTATTTTGTACAATTTGTGACATAAGATTTCGTCAATATACAGCATTTAAAATATGTAAATACATAATTACTCCGAAATAACACTGTCACACTGCAGAATATTTTTTAACAATATACCCTTTTAAAAATGACGGGAAATTTGTAGATTGGAAATATCTTTTTGTTTAGAACAGTGTTTCTCAACCTTTTTTTAAATAAATAATAATAATAAATAAATTTATTGCCATAACAAGAAATAAAAAATACAAATTAAAGATACATTTAACTTAATACATAAATACGGGCAAAAGGGTCGATTTATCGCGTAAGCGATATCTTCCAAACAACCCAATCAATCAGCAGTATACTAAGTTATATAGAAAAACAATAAATGAACGGCAAGCTGCTATGCTAAACTTATGGTCACCAAAAACGGTGCATAATGATAGTTGCTGGAATAAAAGAAGAAGAGAAGAGAAGAAAAGTAGAAGAAGAGAAGAAAAGGGAGAAGAAAAAGTTTTCAGGAAGATACTTGGAGAGCCAATAAATGACGTTTTAGGTGGTTTTTAAATGTTACAAGGTGAGGAATATTACGGATCTCAGTAGGCAGACTATTCCAAAGGGTTACAGTCTGGACAGCAAACGATTTATGGTAAATCTCGGTACTATGTGTCGGGAACATAAGCACAGAATCTAACTGAGATCTAGTAGGTAAACCATGCGACGACAAGCGTTGAAATATACAATACAAATACCTTGGGGTTTGATTGTGAAGAACAGTATATAACATAGTTAATATACGAAACGATATTTTACTTACGTACCCCTTGACCTATTACAGCGATGGCGAACCTTTACGTATCAACGTGCCATTTTTCTAAAGAAATGTTTAATATAGTCATAGACCTGCCACAAAAAATTTTGACATTGTGATTATTGGGAATATAATAGTAATAAATACTATCAACTCAAAACTCTTTATTTACTACAAAAAATAGTCCGGTTCATAGTTTGTATTGTGAATCTGGTATTGCCCCTCTTCACCATCGGCGTAATTGGCAAATTCTTAATTATTTTGTAAAGAAACGCATACAACCTGAGCACCCAATCTCTATATTGTTTTCCCAACAGCTACCTGTGTACAGATCAACAGCCACAAGACCGGCAGTAGTACGGGCCAAAGAACTGCTAGGAACTTTAAACTTTACGATACCCCCCTTACATTGTTTATGCAGTATCGAATTTACTCCTTGGCAGTTAAATAAACCCGTTTTCAAATTAAATCTTACATGTTATGCTAAAGAAACACCACGGGAATTGCTTAGAGCTGAATTTAGAAATATAACCAACGCCTATGATGATGCTGTTTTTATTTATACTGATGGTTCCAAAAGGGAGAGTGGGGTTGGTTGCGCGTTTGTGGTTGGGGTTAGTGATTATTCATGGAGCTTGCAGAGTTTTGCGTCTATCTTCTTTGCGGAGTTGTATGCCATCTTCCAGGCTCTGTTATTCATCCGTATGAGTCATAATGGAAATAACTTTGTTATAGTTACAGACTCGTTGAGTGCTATTAAATCATTACAAGCAATGTGTCCAAACGAACCGATGGTACGGATGGTTGGAGAATTATTACATGTTATCTTGTTTTCTGGAAAACAGATCGTATTTATATGGGTACCGGGTCATATCGGCATTGAGGGTAATGAAAGGACAGATAAAGCAGCAGGACACGGGGCTGACGGTAACAGTGTTGACGTCAAGGTATGTCGTCATAAGGATGTCATAAGGCAACTTAAATCACGACTATATGACAAGTGGCAGAATGACTGGCAACGCAGTGAAAGTTTTCTACACCGTATCAAACCCTTAATAAAACCTTGGAATCAGTCCATTATCTTCAATAGATCAGAACAGGTGAAACTAGAGAGATTACATATAGGACATACACAACTGACTTCCGGTTATTTGTTAAAACGAGAACCAAGACCTGTATGTTTGCGCTGCGAAGTTCATCTCACGGTAATGCATATCCTGCTGGACTGTGAATTATATGCCAACGAGAGACAATTACATAATATCTCATGTCTGGATGATGCATACGCGAATCCTGTTAATTTGTTTAAATTTTTTAAGTCTATTGATTTGTTCCATCAATTATCAATACGGTGAGTGCTAAAGATCTCCGCTATCGAAGCGCTTCTAATGATAATAATAACAATACTACAAAAAAATAGGAACATTTTGCAATGTTTCAATTATACGCGTAATTTAAATTAATGTAAAATTAGTGTGACTTCTGTTGTTGCAGATTAGATGATAAATAACTTATGTTAGGGTTGTAAGATGTTACTTTTAGCAGAATGCATGCTGAACTGGAGTCATCTGCCAAACGGTTTCTAACCGAGTCTTTAATGTTATTTATCTCTGAAAATAATGACTCGCAGGCATAGGTTGATAAAAATATTGTTAAAATAGCATGAGCCAGCTTCTTCAAACAATTAAATGTGTCTGACTCCATGTTTCCAGAATTTTGTTATTAGCATTTTCCGATAATTCTTTGAACTGAGAAAATCTCGCTGAAAATTCCCTGATTGAAGAATCAATCACAGAAATAAATTCTTCAGTAACTTGGTCTTCGTCTGGATTCTCATGTATTTCCAAATCGTTTGATATATTTTTTCAAATTTGGAAAATACTTGTAGTTTCTGGTGATAATATCGTTCCTGAAAACTTGCAGTTTAGTCTCAAAAGCGCGAATGAGATCTACCGTGACGATAATTGTTTTATTTATGCCTTGAGGCTTCATGTTTAACTTATTTAAATGTTGGCATATGTCTGTAAAAAATAACAATTTTGAAAACCACATAACATCCAACAACTGTGGGTATTCTTCAACTTTTCCCTCATTTTGCAGAAACAGTCTGATTTCTTCCAAGCAATCAACAAATCTTTGAAGTACGTTCCCGCGAGTCAACCAGCGAACATTATTTTACATCAGTAAGCCATTGTACACCGAGTTGACTTCATCTAACAAAGCATCGAACATCGACGACGAGATGAGGTTGATTATTTTTGTGACCACCGCCATTACATTATCAAGAGATGTTAACCACTCTTAGCACACAAGGCTTGTTGGTGAATGATGCAGTGGAATTGAAGAATCGAATGCCCTACGTCTGTTTGAAATAAACTTATGAAACCATCTTTTTTACCCACCATATTTGGAGCAACATCAATTGTTACGGAAACAATTTTTTTAAAAATATATTTCTTTTTCAGCAAGGGAATTTTTAACAGCCGTACAAATATCAGTGCCCTTTGCAGTTGTTAGCAACGATTTGATCACAATTAATTCTTCCTCAATGACGTTTCCAACGTAATATTGAGCAAAAACAGCTAAACGAGCAGATTTAGCGACGTCAGTGCTTTCGTCAAGACATAAAGATATAAAAGAAGCAGAACTAATATTAATTTTTTGTTGATCTGTTACATTTTCGGCCAGTTTTAAGATTCTTTCTTTTACTGTGTTTCTGGAAAGAGGAGTATCTTTGATGCACCGAATTATCTTATCTTTATTATCGAAATCATCATAAAGAGAGGACGCGCATGCTAACCAGACTTCCTTCAAAAACTCTCCCTCTTGAAAAGGTTTACTATGCCGAGCAATGACATATGTAGCCGCGTAACTTGCCGCGCTCGTATGACAATTTTTGCGAACATATTCAGTCATAGATGTTGACTGTTTATTTCTGTCTTTCAATACACTTGCAATTAATTCTTTTTGCTCTGGTTTGCTTTTTTGACTAACGGATTTGTGATTTGTTTCAAAATGCCATTTCACAGACGATGTTCCAGAACATAAAACACACACCGCCTTGTCACCTTTACTAATCATGCCATATTTCTCTGTCCACCAAGCCAGAAATTTAAAATTCTCCGATACTCTTTCTATCTTGCACTTTTTGTTTTTGAAAAATCTCGAACCGGCGTTGAAACCAGGCAAGCATAGCGATTTAATCTAAACATCTGATGAGGCATCATAGGGAATATGTTGTTAGGACCGATTATTTTACCATGAAACGGTCATATATACCTTCATTTTCTGGAAAGCATTCCTCCTGGATGACTTATCCTTAAATAGGAGACTAAATGAATCTGGAAGATTTGCGTCAATTAATAGAACACAATTGTAGATGATTCGCGAAAATGATTGGTCGTTTGAAAGAGTGCGAGCTTTATTTTAATGCAGAACTACAAACAGTGTTGATGTTGTAAAGTGTCATTTTAAACATCTTCAATTGTAGTGATAAAAATTTGCGGTTCATTAAGATTTTGTTGATTTACTTATAGAAGTTATTTATTTTTGTGGTACGTAATTAAGAAATCTGCCGTAATTAAAATCGGACAGAGAACTGAAGATAAAATATTTGGACTGGAGGGTATTAACTGATGTTATTGAAGCCTTGAAATGTATTGTTTCTTGCAAATTATATACATCTCTGAAATAACGTAATGATAACAAGAAATTCAATAGAAAAGGTAGCTTGCCCCTTTACATCTAATCTGTATAACCAACAGAGTTATTTCTCAGTTTATGGAATGGATAGAAAATCCCATAAATGGTGGAAAAGCATTTTTTTATATACACTGTTTGCGTTGTAAATGCTTGTCTTATTATATAATGTCTTATGTCTTATTCCGAGAAAGAGAATGAGATGCCATTGAAGATGTTTCGTTAAGCAGTCTAATTTGTGCTGCGGTAGAAAACAGAAAACCCACGTTTTATGCGCGTTATATAAAGCCAAACGAAATTGCAGGAAACAAAAAATGTATGTTATAAGAAGTATGATAATTAACACATATAACAGGTAAGCTCACATAGATGCTCCCACTGCAGTACAACAAGATATGTGCATAGCATTATTTGGAAATACTCCACTTGCAATGTGAGCTTATGTCTTAATAAAAATAGAAATAAAAACGGACACGACGACCTCTGGGAAGACCTCCAAAGAGACGGATGAACATCAACTAAAATGTAGCAGAAAAAATGTATCACAAGCGGCTACTGGTTACGAGCCCTAACCATATCCTAGAGGATAATCAGGATATCTCATTGGCAGTTCCTTCCCATAATTTTATTTATGCACCTATTTGCAAATAATTTGTCAAAATAAAAATGTCTTATCGTCAAAAGAAATCAAGAAACAGATTTAAAAAATAGGTTTAATATTATTATTTTCATATAATCCGTCCATTAAATGAATTTTGGCATACAAAATATTAAAGTTGACTAAAATACCAGTTTTGGAGATAGGTTGTATCGCTCCAAAATGTACTTTGTATGCCGATCCAATTCGAAACTTATAAGGTAGTAGGAAGAATATTGCATCTTGGTTAAGTCCAGCACCAGTACACGTTTTTTGTCAAGAAATAGGCGTTATACCCAATCCTTTATTCGTAAATGTCTTCGCATACACAACATGTGTTCATATCACCTACAACCTTTTTAAATGCTGCATCTTGGGGGTGTGATAATTACTGTAAATTTTTGTGTACAGTAAATTCATAAATCCTATACTAAATCCTATATGGTATGTCAATGGAATCAGTATTGACGTTGAGCTGCAAATGTTTACATTGAAATTTTTAGAAGACAGACCATCGGCCCATATTTTTGCCAATATTGCGAGAACATTTCGTCAGGTTTCTTAGAGGACATTCCCTAATACGACGTTTGCACGACTCAGTCTATCTTATGTAAACTTAAAACAAAATCAAATCAAATACTAACAGTAACGGGTTTATAACCCAACCTATGTTAGAAACCCAATCCATTCAATGGCCAATGCAATGAGTTGATTACATATCCAAGATCTACAGCCGTTGAATTCCTTCCAGACTGTGTTACCAAAACCACCATTATTTACGCTATGAGAATTTTTATATTGCACCTCAATGAAACCAACAAATACGTTAGGCTACGAATGTTTACAATGAATTTTTTGGGATAACAAATCATCAGTCCATATTTTCTGCTAAGATTAAGTGCTAAGAGCTAAAACTTACAGTAATTTTTGCGAAAACACTTTGCTACATTTTAAAATGATGCTGTTTGATGCCCAACAAACTACAAAAATATTGAAATCAATTGTGATGCGTTCATTGTTTTTATACTAAGGGTCAAACTATTTGCAATATCAAGACTAACTCGAGATTAGAGTATAATTTTGCACTGCTATCAAATCAATTTTTGTACTTTTGCTCTTTTCTATTAGATAGCAGCTTATTATCGACAAACTCATTTGAATTAAAACATTTTAAAGAACTTATAATAAATTATAAGCAGTTCGTTTTCTTACAAATCATCAGAAGGATAAGATTCATTGAATAAGTACATAATGGGATTGTTTCATCGCCAACGATTATATGTGGAAAAGTTGCACTATTTCCTGGGAAACTTTTGCTGATGGCATATGTAATGTTAGTCTTTGACAACCTTTCTATATACAGCACCTTTGTATTAACCTTCATTGTATAGGAATCCTAAGTGTATTTTCTAAAACTGAAATAATACACAAAAGCAAAAGATGAAGTTGATTGATTTATAACTGACCTAATTTTATTTTTAGTATTTTTCAGAAAACAAATAAAAAGCTCTCTAGGAACATAAGTGGTTCTTTAATGTAAAATCAATGATACTTAAATGTCTTTTATACGTGATGTCGTTTGGACGAAGGATTAGTAGCTATACACCAAAGAAATGATGAAGACGTGGGGTTATTACCAAATAGAGATTCGATTTCGTGAATATTACTCCTGGCCTGCTCGGGACAATTTAAGCGGTTACGGAGGAATAATTTTACTTTTTATTAATTTTAGTTGTTCATGTTATCCTATGTTCAAAGAAATTTTAGGTAAGTTTGTTCAAAGGTTATACAGGATTCGCCAATGAAACGATATTTGTTGAGAATTTACTTTGCGGTTAACTTTTTTCATGTTTTTAACATAAAATAGATAACCCAACGTAGTTGCTAGAAGTCTTAGCACGTTCAATAGCACTTTCAACAAATTTTTGCATCTCGTGAAGAGCTGGCTTATCATAGTAAATAGCTTATTTCGTCCGTTTAGCTACAATGTTTAAGCTTTAATGATGAGCTGTTAATTGATTTCTTCATGTCTTCTGAAGAATGCCTTATACTACGTACTTGTGCAATTATGTAAGTGTGTGAGTTTTGCTGTCATTTATAATAGTGTTTGACCAATCTCTTCGGTGTCCATTTACAATTTCCTCAAAATGTATTGTACAGTTTTTTTGTACCATCGTCTTATGGATAGAAAAAGTTTGCGTCTTCACTATTAGATATAATAGTCATCTTTGGAACAGTAATTCGCTCGTTCTCATTAAGAATCATCTGATCTATCCACCAATTGATATATTTTGTAGAACTCTTCAAAACACGTCAAAGTACTGGCAATTTTAGTAAATAATATTTCATACAAAAAATCACAAGTGTTATATATGGGAAAAGGAAGAGCAGATAAACGAGGAAGTAGTGCAAATAGCCCTAAGCGAAACACGATGGTGACGATAGTTTATCACCAGAACTACTAAAAAGAGGAGGTCCGAGCAGACGTGGAATTCTGAATCAATACCCCACGAATGAGGAAGGAATATAGTCGTGCCAATCCATAAGAAGAGGGAAACAGCCAACTATGAAAACTACAGAGCAATCTGTTTGGCGCTGGTTGCGCTCAAACTCTACTCAAAAATTCTAGAAAAACGACTGAAACCCCAGATAGAAGAAAAACTCGAAGAGGGACAAACGGTGTTCGGCCAAACAGATAAACACAGGACCATATATACACCCTAAGGACAATAATAGAAAAAAGAACGGACAGGAATAAGGATATATGTATATTTGGCCTTACTAGACCTAAAAGTAGCTTTCGACTAAGTACCGAGACAACATATATGGGAAGCTTTAAGCAACTGGGGACAAGTTCAAAACGTTAGACTGAATGGAAAGATGTCAGAAGAGTTCAGAATGGAAAAGGAAGTGAAACAGGGTGACAGTTTAATCCAACTACTCTTTGTAGCATACATGGACAGAATAATAATGCAAGTCAAAAGACAAACTACGCAGACGAGATTGGAGTACCACAACCTAATGCCGATCTACACTCGAGACCTTAAAAGCGGACGATGTTGTACTAATGTGAGGCAAAGTAGATGTCCTACAAAGAAACATCTAAATATGAAACACCTGTCTACAAGAAAGGGGAATGGTAATAAACAAGAACAAAAGTAAGATCCTGCACATCATAAAGGCAGAAGAAATGGGAGCTATTGACGTAAGAATAGAGAGGCAACGACTCGAGGTGGTAGAAAAGTACGAATATCTTGGAACCATAATAAATAAGGATGGAAAGATTGATCGGGAAATACGCAAGAACAGCAAAAGCAAGTGCAGTCTACAATCAAATAAACAACACCCTCGTAGACAAGAAGGAACTGAACACTAAAGCAAAAATACAATAATTATATAAAACCATCTATATACCTCCATGAAATTATGGATCAGAAATTTGGAAAATGTTGGAGAAGCACAAATCGAAAATAACAGCAGCAGAGATGACTTACGCAAGATATAGGGGAAAACCAGAACAGATAGGGTACGGAACAAGAATATCAAAAAAGAATTAAGCTTAAACCCCCTGGTACAAGAAATAGAAGGAAAACAACTAAGTTGGTATGGTCATCTAGTTTAAATGAAATAAGATAGAATACCTAACAAAATGTTCAACATAAGGCCAAAGGGAAAGAGAAAGCGTGGTAGACCAAGAGCCCAATAGGAGGGAGAGATTAAGAAGATGGTTAAAAGAAGAGGGAAGAGACTCGCCGAAGTACGGATTATGACCAGAGATAGGAAGATGTATAAAAGATGGGTCCAAAACCCCACACAGTAAGATATAAATGGGGGCAAGAGAAAGAAGAAGTGTTACATATGCTTCAACTCATGTTGAAGGGTAAATTCTAATACTGAAATAATATGTGTGATATTTAAAAATCCAAAATGACTCATAATATCAGAAAAACAATAAATGCGGCAACATTGCGAATGTCCAAAATAAATAAAATATCTCAAAATAGGCATATAACAAAATTTTGTCCGACTCTGGCTTATTTACAAGTAAATTAGACGTTTGTTTAGAATCCAAGCTATTAAAAAAAAATTAAAAATCTCGTTTCATTGACGAAGCTTGTATAATATGTTAACATTTAGAACTAAATCTTACTTTTAACAGATATCAACACTAAATTTCGCGATAATCTCTTTAATTTGCAATACTTATTTATACAAATAATGCTACTGTCTGGGTGTGCTCAACTGATATTTAGACGACATGCATTATTCAAAATGATTGGTTTGGTATCTGAATTAAAATGCTATGGATGTCCGGAAAGACAAAAACGCTTAGACAGCCTGGCAAGACCAATCTTAAAAATATGTCGTTATACAGGAGTTTTGATTAATTTTCTATTATGGTGGGATGCAATGTTTAACTATCCTAAACTTGGATCTAATCAGATTGGAATTCTTGATTATTATATTCCGTTCAAATTGACACCTTGGCAACGACATCTTATTTCGCTGTTTCAAATATATTCTTGCTCTGCAATAATAAATCTTTGCATGTATGCTGTAATGATGTACTGTTACACTTTGGAACTGTTGGTTATTCACATTGAAAATCTTATATCTATTATTGATGAAATCAGGTTTGTACCGTACGAAAAAATATGTTTAAAATTTCAATATGTAATGTCTTATCACCTGGATCTATTTCGGTACGTTAATAACATTTTTATTGTTTTATATGTATAATGATTTTAATTTTAATAGGGCATTTTTATTTGCAAGTCGTTTTTTACGGAATCTTGTTGTACCACAAAGATTTCTTGGTGCAATGTGTATAATAATATCAAGTACAGCTTTTCTTATGGTAATAATGTTAAAATAGATTAAAATAGATTAAAGAAGTTAACATTTATTACTTACATTTTTATTTAGCGGAAAGATATGTCTTGTATCGTAATATGTAGTGGCTGCTTTTCTTGCATATTTATATGTCACTGGGCGGGACAACGGATTACCAATGCTGTAATTATAAAATTTTATTTACTTTAGCCAAAAAGCTATGTTTTTTTTTATTTTTAGGGGGCCGATTTAACGAACGCCATTTATAATTTAAATTGGTATGAAGCCGATATTAAGATTCAAAAGAACATCATGACCTTTCTTATTATAAGTCAACGCGCATTAACTATTCAAACACCCTTTTTTGGATTAATGTCCTTCACAGCATTAGCAAAAGTCAGTACTTCAATTAATAAATTAGATAAATCAATACAACGGTAATTATATTTTTAGGAATGTCAATTAATATTCGTATGGTTTAATTGGGTTAGAAAATTTTGAATTCAACAGAAGTTTGATGTAATTAATACATTATCATTTCACAAGCATCGTTTTAGATTATTTTAATAATCAACTTATCTGATATTATATAAGATTTTTCATAATTATTTCGATAAATATGTTAATATCCACCTTTATCTAGGCAGGCTAATATGAAAAAAGTTCATGTAAACTAATGTAGTAATAAACAGCACATAGTATTATTGCCACCTGTATGGGTATGAATCTTGAATCACATCGACTTTTGAACATTTTGATATTACTGATACGATAATGTTAAAAACCGTTAATTATTGCGTTGATACGTTGCAAAACTTTATACATTATATGGTTTCTGTACATAACTTGTAAATAAAAATGATAATTGGGTTGTACTACATACTTCAAAAAATATTTTCTTACATTGTATATTTTACTATTTACGTGATATATTATATTATAATAAATTAAAGTCTAATAAATGTTGGTTAGCATTCAATAATGTTAACATTTCAAAGTTGTCGTCTGATAGCGCTTGGCGTCTTGGAGTTAGGACCATGTTGGCCAATGAGAATAACCTTTCGACAGGTGCCGATGGTGGTAATGCGGTATTGTGTTTTAGAAACAGTTTTTTTAATGTTGGGTACTCATGAATAATGTTTAAATTTGTACGTTTATCATCTAAACATCGTAGTAGTTCTAACTCAACTTTTGGTCCATAATGTTTAGTTTGCTTAACGTTTTTTTGTACTTCACTTTCATTAAAATCAAAGTAGTCATCTAGGTTATTTTCCTCCTCAGGCGAGCTTTCAACGTCGTCCTTTTTTAAGTCCAATGATTAAATGTGGATCCTTCATACCTGACAACCATCTCTATTTAAAATTTGGTAACAATACACACGCACCTATCGAATCGTAGCTCTTCATAAGAAAAATGGTTGATAACTTACTCTACAATTTCTCAATGCACATATCTATGATGATATCCCCACTATATTTAAATTTATTGGATTTTTAAATTACATTCAAAATACCCGGGTACTTCGAAAATACCCGAGTATTTTGTGTGTCGCACAAAATACGTGTCGAATATCTTAGCCCTGGATAGAGGCACGCTTCACCATTGGTAAGGAAAGAAATTGACAAATTTGAGAACAGAGAAGCGCAGCTTTATGGTCCTTGTATAAAAGTCCAGATTAATGATAAAAAATTGTTTGCAGTTAATTTAAAATTTTTTCATAACCAGAACTTTAAATACGCTTTTAAAACGGCACCTAGCATAACTCAAACAATTTTCATAAAATCGATTTAAATTTTTTACCACATATTTAAAATTATATTCTACAGGGGAGTACGTAGAGGATTTTCGATAAGTTGATTTCTGATTTTTTTATTAACAAATGATTTTTTTCAAATGCTCACAAATCGATCAAAAACTAATATTTTCAAATTTGTTTTCAAATTTCTGTAGTTATTCTTATGTATGTATATTAAGACAATTTTTTATGTTATTATTCAGATTTAATATGCGACTCCTACACTGTGCGCTGCACAACTTCTCCAATTTTACACGATTTGCGGGATTGACTTCAGCCTAACCATTTTGTATTATTTTTGTAATATAAAAACTTTTTGTGCATTATTTTGTGTATTATTCTCCTAAAATTTTAGCCTCTAGTAATAAAAAAATCGCAAAAAAGCACTTTATTTTAGATTACTGCAGTGATGTTACTTCCAAATGGTATTTCTGTATAAGTCTTTATATTAAAATGCTAAAGTTAGGAGCCGGTTTGATATATTTTGGTTATCCAAAACGAAACCAATTTTATCGAAAACTAGCACCATATTATCATTATGGCTTAATCCAAAATTCAATTCATCAGCCCAAATATTGTAATAATTTTCACCATTTGTTAAATTTCTTATTAATATAACAACTCGTTCGCAGTAAATTTATTGATTAATATTATTGTATCAAATATTTGTCAGTGTAGTTGGTTTAATATTATTGGATACATTATTTCCTATGGTAAATATGAAAACATAACTTATATTGAAATTAATTATATCTTTAATTAGTGGAAACAGGAAAACCATTTTGCAGTTATAACTTCAACAGCTGGTATGCTATTTATGTATCCCCTTTTGCGGTCGAAAGAATAACCTCCGCGATAATTAGGGAGTTAACGCGGTAATAGAGGTGTTAAACAATTTGTAAATTTTAGGTTGTTAATTTATCGAACACTATTTACTACCTAAATAGGTATGATGTGGACGTGACAATTCAATAAGACGTTTTAACTGTTCTTACGTTTGTCAAAAAGTCAATAATTATTACATTAGCAGAGGTACATTTTTTTTTTGAAAAACACTACTTAATAATGATGGTTAGTTTTGTAAGAAATGTAATGTAAGGAACAAGTATGATTAAAATAGGAGATAATAAATAAAATGTTCAAAGACAAATAAAAAACACAAAAAAGGAGCTCAATGTTTTTTTTATTAAAAACAAACCAAATGTTTCATACAATTTAACAAAAAAATAACGCATCAGCAACTCCAATTTTATTACATTATTGATTTACATTTTTAGTTAATTTATTAATTATATACAAAATAAAAAAACTTATTAAAGGAGTCTATATTTTAATTAACAATTTTCGTAATAAGACCAGCAGCGATCGTCTTTCCATTCACCCTGATCATTATCCTGCCCAGTTCTTTGTATTCGCTATACAATTCTAAAGCAATCGGCCTTGATGTCTGTATCTCAACACTTGCGCTTGTATTATTACTTATAAATCTTGGATGTTTCTTCTGTATCTCTCCAGTACTCTTATTCAACTGTGCTATTAAACGAGTTATCACAGCTGGTTCAACTAAAGATTGATGATGTAAAATTACCTAAATAAATTATGAAAATGTAACAAAATTATAAAATATAACATGAAAAAAATTATTGTTGAAAGAATTAAGACATAATTCGGATATCAATATCAAAATTTTAATATAAGTTCAACAATCAAATGATACATTGCAACAAACTGTTACAAATATAGCATTGTTTAAGTTTAGGAGCAATGATATATAGAAATAATATCCTTCACGTGTATTTTAATGCATACTCCTTGTTATTTTGATCCCCAAAAACTGTTTTGCATTACATTAAGTGCTTTAGGTACATTAAAATCGTATACTTACTGAAAATCCTTTAGTTATTGGATGTATTAAATTAAAAACAACAATCCTAGCTTCAAATTTACTTGATACAGGTGTTGGATTTAAAGGATCGCAAACAATAAATCCAACCGAAACATTTTGCATTTCAACGCCTGAAATTGTGATCGCCACTTGATCACCAGCGAAAGCAATTTGTTTGCTAGAATCTTCAATTGATAATCCTTTAACAACACCAAGTTCTTTGCAGGGACAAATTAAAACGCGATCACCTACATTTACAACACCCGTTTCTACTTTTCCTGAAACACAAAAATTTGCCCCAGTACCCTACAATTAAAACAAACAATGAATTATAACATAAAACGAATAATATTTTTTGATTTACTTTAAACATATCATTAACTGAGAATCTAAACGGTTTTGATATAGGTCTTTCTGGACATCTAAAATTATCTATAACCTCAATTAGTGTGGGTCCTTTATACCAAGATAATAATTCGTTTTCTGTAGGAGTTTCAATAAGATTTTGTCCAGTTAGACCGCTGCATGGTACGAACGTAACGTCGCTTTCTCTAAATCCTGCTTGTTTTAAAAATGTTTTTAGCTTCACTTGGATTTCGTCGAAACGCATTTTCGACCATGAAACGGTATCCAATTTGTTTATGGCAACTGCCAATTGAGATACTCCCAAAGAACGAACTAAAAGTGCGTGTTCGCGGGTTTGACCGCCAAAATCGAATCCCGTTTCAAATTCGCCTCTTGTGGCATCAACTACCAGAAGCGCTACATCTGCTTGGCCGGCGCCCGATATCATATTTGGGATGAAATCTTTATGGCCAGGTGCGTCCAAAAGTGTTATCTAAAGAATTACATAAAAATTTTAATGCATTTTATAGTTAAAAACAACTAACCATTTTTGTTTTAGTTTCAAATTGAGATCTCCCAACATCCATAGTAATCCCTCGAGTTCTTTCTTCGCCAGTTTCATCCAAAACCCAAGCATACATAAAGCTTTGTTTCCCCAACTTTTTACTTTCTTGTTCATATTTATGCATAGTTTTTTGATTTACCTTAAAAACCATACACAAAAAATCATTTTTTCATCACATTAACCCAAAAAATTCTTACTTGTCCCAAACTACACAATAAATGTCCCATTAATGTCGATTTTCCAGCATCGACATGACCAATAATAACCATGTACAAATTTTCTTTGTTTCCTTCTCTTTCTTTTTTGTACTGAGCCATGGGATCGCCGGTTTTACTTTCTTTTACACGAAGCGATTTTAAATCGTCCGAAAAATCGGATGTTGTTGTTGACTGAGGAACGTTTACTGGAGTTCCTCTTCCGGATATTGGAGATTGAGGGCGAGATGTATTTAAACGAGACGAATCCTTTGGTGAGAGAATATCAAAGCCTTTTATTACGTTTGTTGATTTTCCGCTTGATGCAATTACTGTAATTGTTGTTGGTTCTATTGCTAAAGTAGATAAAATGTGTTAAAAAAAAAACTAAGACACCAAGACAACGCGCCAGTTTGTAAATTATGAACTTTTATCCATAGGTCATTATATCATATTAAAAGGGTACTCCAAAAGTAAGTAATAAATTATTAAAGGTTGCATCTGTGAGGAGGTAATATCCTATTTTCAATCGTCAATATGAACTGGACTTGAGCATAGTGCTTTCATTGTTGAAGCGATTATTAAAAGCACCGAACTTATAACTGCCATCTAAAGAGCTTATCGAGTGCACTTTAGTCTTGAACCACGTAACACCGAACTTGTTTGAAACACGATTTTACTACGGGTTAACAACTTCCAAGCTAGAGGACCAGTATTGAAAAGAAAACATTCTGGATGATCTCAGACTGCAAGGACTCTTGAACATGTGAATGCGCTAAAAACATTCCAATTTCTTTCCAAGTAATATTGTGAATGTTAAAAATATGTTTCTAAAAGAAATTTTAGGGTAAAGAAATACTTAGATATCTTCCTTAATTTGTGGCATCTTGAACTGCTGATAGAAGATTTGATATGATGCTTGCAGAAAGCTAGAAACTGCTAATGGAATATTAGATACTACTTATAGATAACTAGATACCACCAATGAAAGACTAGAGGTTCTTTATATAAAATGCTGGCACAAAACTACGGGCTGCTAGCAAAATGCTAAGTACATAAGACTAAACATTGCCAAAAGAAGACCAAATCTTGCTTAGAAGACTATGTATTGTAAAAAGACTAGTGATTTCTCCAAGTTCATCATATAAAGTGAATAATTGAAGTGAATTGGCTAGATGCTGCTGGTGGAATTCAACGTGCTAGGAAGACTAGCAGATGTCATTACATTTTTTTTTGATTTATCACTATTTAAAGTCACAATCACAAATTTGTGTTTATGTAAAGTGTACCACTTCAAATTTCACTAAAATATAATATATACAGTACGCGTCATAAGAATACGGTTCGAGATATCGTCATAAGACGAAACACGTCGATTTTTATATTTTGTTAACCCAAATAGTTTATTACTTTTAGTTTTTCCGGAAAATGGGTCAACTTTGTTTTTTTAAGTGTATATATTCTATATATCCCTATATATTCTATAGAGTATACAAAATTACTTGGGAGTACATTTAAATTGCTCCTAACATTCCTATCTTCTATGTGACTCTAAAAAATTTGAAGAAAATTAATAATTAAAGAAAATACAAAGTTTTAGAAAATAAATCTTCTTTTTCTTCATAAAATGAAATTACCCATGGGCAGCTGTTTTTTCCGTGCTTTCTGAGCTTTTATGAACAGCAATTCATTACGTCACTCTTGCCGAATAATTCGGTGTTCATCCATTTCATCGACATATATTAAATTGTTACGACGATTGACATTACAAAATAAAACTAACCTTACTCAACATTCCTTCACGGTATAATTGACATTCCAAACGAAAACTAACCTAATCTAACATTCTTTCTTGGGTTGATTGGCATTTGTAAACAAAACTAACCTTCCCTAACATTCCTTGGCTGTAAACTGAACTAACCTTTGATGATAGTCTTCTGAGAAAAACTTCTCAGTATCATGCAGCACTTCAACATCCCACCAAAACTGGTGAGATTAATGCGCCTAACTATAAATGAAGTCGCAGGTAGAGTTAAAATACAAGGAAGACTAACTGAAGCTTTCGAGATAATCCAGGGTCTGAAACAAGGAGATGAATTAGCGCCAGTGCTATTCAACCGGGCGCTGGAACATGCAGTAAGAAAAACGACAGTCGATATCAACTCATCACTATTACAGAAGTCGAAGCAACTAGTAGGATATGCGGACGATATTAACATAATAGGAAGGAATGTGAACGTCATGAAGGAAACCTTCACAGAGCTGGAGAGAGCAGCAGGAATGGTGGGCCTGAAGATTAACGAAAACAAGACAAAGGTGCTCATATAATCGAGAAGTAACAGAACGAGAAGGTAAAATCTAACGTTTGGGGATCGGAATTTTGAGGTCGTAAGTGACTTTGTATATCTTGGCACCACTACACCCAATAACCGGGACGAAATAAAAGAAACACGCAAAATTACCAGCGCAAATAAGACGTATTACGCCCTGTGCAACATTTTCAAGTCTGGAAACGTCCATAGAAAAACAAAGATACTGCTATGGTAATGAAGTTTGGACGCTGTCACAAAAGGCCGAATCAAACTTAGATGCTTTCGAAATATTCTGCGTAAAATCTACGGTCCAGTTAAAGAAGACGAACAATGGAGAATACGATACAACCATGAGATATACAATCTGTTTAAGGAAGCTAGCGTTACAACATAATATAAAACTGCAAAGACTCAAATGGGTGGGTCATATAGAAAAAATGGAAGTTTCAAGAGTGACCAAAACAGTGTATCTGAAGTAACTTGAATCTTGCATCTGAAGGCAGACGACCAGTGGGAAGACCAAGTGATCGCTGACGGGATAGCAGATGCAGGAACCATATTACAGGTGCATAACTATAAAGCAAAAGTGAAGCTGGATAGCGAGGGACAGACGAAGTTGATAAGTAGATATGCACTTGAGCTTCATATTGAAATGCACAGACAGTCGATAGTGTAGTTGATCGCCTTTGAAGTCTTTAGGAATTTTGATATTTACCGATACGACAGAGATAAGACAATGCGATTTCTACAATTTGTGTCATGCGCATTCAGTTAACCGCTATATTTGTGTATCTACGGAAGTGTTGTTTTTATTTCGACGATGCCGCCGGTGAAAAAGAATTTAAAGACAATTCCCGACAGTCCTTGAAGAATCTACGATTCGAAAAAACTACCTGTCAGTAATCTATGAAGATGTGTTAAATGAAATCCGTACCGATCTTGTAAACAATTTGCTCTGGATATCAGCTAATGAAACGGCAGATTCGTGTGGACGGTATATAGCGAATTTGATTATAGGGAAATTATCCAACGAGCCGTCTACTCCCCACTTGTTTCCCGATTCTTCTATTAATGAAAAATATGTGTTTTTGTTTCTGACGCTGCTCCATATATGGTAAAAGCTGGACAATCTCTACAAGTGTTTTATCCAAAGTTAATACTTGTCACCTATTTAGCACATGAACTCCTCCGATTTGCAGAAAAAGTTAGGAAAGAGTTTCCGAATGTTAATAAATTGATTTCATCGACAAAGAAAGTGTTTTTAAAAGCACCATTGCGTATACAAGCTTACGAAGAGCAACTGCCAAATCTAGCACTACCTCCCGAACCTGTAATGACGCGATGGGGTACTTAGTTGAAGGCAGTTATAAAACAGGTAGTTGGTCAATTTACTTGTTCAGAGTTCACAGCAATTTATTCAAGTCAGTTAGCATTTGAAGACGCTTCCATGAAACAAAATATAGCTCTAATTACAACTTATTTTAGCAACATACCCGACGCCATAGAAAAATTGGAAACTCGAAACCTTCCTCTGTTCAAGTCTATAGAAATATTAGACAAAATTGTCAAACAGGTAAATGCCCTTCCTATATCACTATCGGAAAATGTGCGTGGTAAATTAAATGCTGTACTACATAAAAACCCAAGCATCGAAGAAATCAAGAAAATTAATTCATTTATAAATGGCACGGGTCAAAGCCTGCCGCAAGAGATAACTTCAGAGATGACGCCATATTTTAAATTCTGTCCAATGACTTCAGTAGACGTAGAAAGGTCATTTTCGGCTTATAAATTAATATTAGGGGACAAACGTCACAAGTTTGCTCTAGAGAACTTACAAAAATACATGGTAGTATATTGTAGCAAAAATTACACATTGTGATATTACTCTAACTTTAATTGGTACTGATTTCTTGAAATAAATTCAAACAATAATTTAGTAATAATTTATACCAATCCTTATACAATTACTATAATTTATCATTATTATTCTTTTAACCAGCCTCTCCTTGCCTCCCTCCGTCTCCTCGCTGCCCTTTCTAAACCCTTTAAGTCATTGGCATTTTTATAGCGCATATTTGACCCTTGAAAACATTTTTAAAAATAAATTATTAGAAAAATTGAATTGACACAACGTAATACTAATACTAATCAAAACGAAGCTTTTTACTGAATCATCAAAATGTCGACCTGCAACATCAATACAGTTTCTCATTCCACGTTAAAAGGAAGCCCGAACTCTTTCAAGTAGCCCGTAGTTTTCACGAATTGTCTGGCAACCCTGTTAGCCGGCGATTGGGAAATGTTTCACCATAGAAACGATGTGCTCTGAAACTATTTCCATTGGCACGGTCGTACATAAACACCATATCGCTCATTTCAGCATTTGAATACAAGACCATTGAAAACGATTTCACTTGAGGTTTCGCAAAATCAAATTACTGGAGTTTGGTTATTTCGTAATTTGAACGAAACGTCAAATTAATGTATGTTAGCAGATTGTACGTAAGGCAAAGCCTACTCCTTGTAATGGCCAAATTTTGGTAAATAATGGCAAAACTTTTATAATGGAATAACTTATACTAACTGGAAGTAATGGAAACATCATACTACTCTCAAAAAGAGACAGTTTCATATTGTATCAATTTGCCAGTTATCAAATCTGTAGTAGTTACAGTTTAAAAGAAAAAACGTAGAGTCCCAAAAAATTTGAACATGTTGATTCACACTTTTCGACTTGTTTTCTACTGTAGCACTACCCCTATAAATATTTAAACGTTGTTTTAAAACACCTGTATAACGAATTTTTTTCTTTGAAACCTCCAATTTCGTTATATGAAGGTCTTAGTACTTCGAATTTCGTTTAATATTTTAGAGGATATTTAAAAATGTTTCAGTTTTTTGAAGGATCTAAATGTATTTCCCCCCTTAACAATCTAGTTCGAGTGCTACTATCTACTTTCTTGCAAATGAAAGATATAATCGGCCATGGAGTGAAGCACACGATTTCAAATGTTATTAATCTAAACCGTTCTGCCTATTCATCTCCAATAAGTAATCAACGTCAACAAGAAGAGTTCTGAGTCAGCGATTTACTTATTTTGTGAGAGAAATTCGAAATATTACTGATAACACTAAACGTAATAAGACTAAACATTAAAATCCCCTGTTTAGTTTACCTTACTGTAAAAATTGATCTTTGCCTTATAAAGGTTAAAGAAGACGATATACCACACAATACACAATGTAATTGCATACAAAAAGAACTTCTATTGCTAAAAATATTCGCATAAACTGTTAGTCAATATAGGATCCCAATATTTAATGAAATATTTCTAAACAAGTTTATATAAAATTACTTTTTCAAGAATATCTTGAAATAAAACTTTTTCAATATCAAAAAAATAAAAATAAATAATATATAAGTAAAGATTTCAAGCTAATATCATCTAGTACACAATTCTTTATTTATAAAAAATATCAAGAAGATTTATTGCTCAAATTTACTAAAACCACTCACAAACACTTACAACTAACTCCTAACACCAAAATATAAGAACTAATTAATATCAATTTCTTAATTATTTTGTACAATTTCGTCATAATAACACACACATCCAAAATTAAAAACAAAAAAGAAAAATAAAAGAATTATTTAGAATATACGTTGTACTTTGAAATGGACACAATGACTAAATTAATTTGTTCAAAACTGAAAGTTTTTATCACCGTTTTAGGTACTGCGATATAACATCATCTGGCGAAGGTGTCTTAAAATCGTACATAATCACTTTTGAATTATAACAAGTTCGATGTTTAACAATTGGTGTTGATTTTTTACGGTAATTTTTGCAAAGGATTTTTCCGAAAACCGAGGCCTTTTTTGCATTATTAAAATGTTTATTAATGATAAACTCAATCGTTAGTGAACATGGATAAACTGGACCTTTTGGTTCAGATGAATCACATTCTACAAAAGGCATATCAAAATCCTCAGTCGAATTGGACCGCGTTTTAGTTTTTATAGAACCCGTACTATTTTTTACAGCTAAAGTGAGATCAATTACGTTATTTTCAGGTTCTTGACTAAATTTATCATTTTTCGAAATGTTTAAATCTGAGAAATTACGCGCTAAATTTTTAGTTACATAATTATTTGTTTCTGTTTCAAGTTTTTCAGTTTTTTCAGACGTTTCAAGTGACCCAACAATATTTTTTAAATGATTATTACTCAAATCGGTTAAAGAATTAAATCCTTTTGAATCACTGTTGGTTTTATGTATTGTAAAAGGTGAATTTAAAAAGTTTGGATTTAGGGGTTTGTTGAAATTAACAACTTTAGTATTGAATTTGCTTAATTTTGGAATATGGAATTTTAAATTATCATCTTACCTTATATAACAGCATCCAACGAAAAAGATCCATAAACAAAGAGAAAAAAAGTTAGTTAAAAATAATTTATTTAAACAAATATTCACCTTTTTCCTTTTTTTCGATTGGTTTAATTTGTATGCAGGGTCCTTTATCTAATAAAATATTTGCTGCTTTACTAACATCAAAGTTAGTATCTAATAAAGTTTGTGCCATTTCTTTTTTTGTTGCTGAACTTCCCAAAGTTTCTTTTAATTCTTTAAGAGCATCATTTAGTTTTATTTTATCAGCTTCAGAAAGATTATACTAATTAAACAAGGACATTAATGAATTGATCATTTTTGATAATAAATACAGACCTCATCCAGTACATCACTTTCATCTTCTTCTCTTATATTATCAGTAAAAAATTGCCCAATTCTTTGTTGATTTCGGCTACCTTCCCTATCATAAATAAAAGCAGCATCACTTGGAGACATACAAAAATCTTCTTCAACGGAATGACCGTAAACATCATCGTAAGCGTCACATTCTTAAAAATAAATCGAACATATGCAAATTTATTATTGTTATTGCAAAAATGAGATTATTTAATACCATCGGAAAAGTTCATTGATCGTATGTTACGGTGTCTTGCCATGATTGAATCTTGTCTCACTAACGTTTATAGGTAATTAACCTGTTCTTTTTTATTAAATCATGTAAAGTAAAAAAGCAAAAATATATTTAAGTGGACGCAACGTGACGTTTATGAGTTTTTTGATATTTACTAGTAAATAATATTTGACATTTTGTAGTGTTGCCAACCTTGGTAATAAAAGTTGCTAAAAATGAAATTGTAAATTTTGGCGTTTTCGCCAAGATTTTAATTTTATATTACATTAATATTGTTATAATAATTGTTTTTGAATGATTAATATTGTTTAACTATTTTGTAATAAGAAATAGTAATATTGGATAAAATTTTATTATTCTTTGATAATAGATGGCGCTGTTTTCAATCAAATCAAATCGATAAAGGATATAATTATTATTATTATGATGAATAAAAACAAATGCATTTAAAATACATAATTTATTTATGTAATTCATGATAAACAGTCTTAATAATAACGTTAATGAAATACGTTATAAAAATATATGTACGATTATGCTTATCCTAAAGATACAATCTTATTAATTCATTTTTATCAAAGTTATCAAATGCAGTCTTCTTAATGAAGGCACTAAGATCATATTCTGCTAATAAAAAATTCTAATAATAAGTAGCAGTTTACATTAAATTTGTATCCTTATTAATAAAACTTAAACACTACGAATTACAGCACAAAAGATTCTTTCCCACTCATCTACATTTTAACACATTAATAAAAAACACAAACGTGTTTCAAGTTAAAAAAATAATAATAAAAATAAAACATATCATCAGAACCTCTTTGTTGATACACCATTTCAAGTACCATGTTCAAATTCCTGATAGCCTTCAGCACCAGTAAAAATAACGTCAATCCATATTCTCATAGCTTCTGGTGATGGTGCCATTAAGTAATAACATCTTTCGTGTGTTTTAACAATAAACGTTAGTTGAGGGTTAGGCGATTTAATCGAATTCGAATGATCCAAATAAACTTCTTCAATCGCTTGGAAATAGGCACCACCGCGAGCTTTCTTCTCACTTTTATCGGAGTAATAAACCAAGGTCCTCTTGTTTCGATCGAAAACGAACCATCTTCGTGACCATCCGTTCAATTTGGAACCTTTCTTATGCAAGAAACCGCGACAAGACCAAGTGTTTATCGTTACGTGTGGACATAAAACGACTTGATGACCTATAAAAACATTAAAAAAAAAATTTATTTATATGAAACGTAAGATAATAATGAAATAATTACCTGCTGATTCAATATGAACCTTTAAGTCTAATTCGGCACTTCTTATTGGTAAATATCTCGTTAGAGGTCGATGTTTATCAGGTCGGTTTCGTTTCTTTGTTAAAGCACCGACTTCGACACTTACGTCACTGGTTTCTGATAAAGGTCGAGGTGATTCAATTCCTTCGGGTTTTCCTCGGAGCTGTAATCAAAACAAAAAATTATTTGAAAGTCTTTTTGCGTTTCAAGATACTCAATATAAAAAGGTTAATTTCATCATCTGGTAGAGTACCTACACTAATGTGACTTGATTGTAACAAATGGATGTATGCAATAATTTCATTTTTAATGTGTAATGTGGGATGATATGTAGATGTTGGCACGTTGCTCAAATTGAGTTTAAGTGTCTCCAGTTCGCCAACATAATGATAATTTATGAATAACGTGCGTTTTGGTCTGTTAATTTAATATTGAAATGTACCAACACGGTAAATTATAATTTTTTTTCATATATCTTAAAGCTTCTAAAATAAACATAGTTAAATACAAAATTTAATTGAAATGTGCAGAAAAGAATGTTAAAGGATAACGGATACAAATAATAAATAAAATTCAATTAAAAAAGGTGCGCTAAGAACCCGCTTAAGACTTAGTTTCATAAATAATAAAGTAAATCCATACAGCAGATGAGGTAGAATAATGAACACTCATTACTAGAAGTAATGATATGAACACCATCGTTACTAGAAGTATCAGACGCTAAGTTTTGCTGCGGGTTCAACATTAGTTCCTCTGAGCTTTTCTCTACTGCATCCTCAGTTTTCTCAGCGGCCACCTTTCCTTTTGGGATTCCTCTCACACCAACTTGATGACACGTTTGTCTTTTCTCCTAACATGGCTGGCCCATGACAATCTTTCTAACTTTATTACTTTTACTATATCTGGCTGGTTATATAGTTCTTCCAGTTCCTGTATTATTCTCATTCTATGCTGCTGTATGATATTGAAGAAAGTTTTTTTTAATAGTAATTGGTCTGATGAGGCTGTGGTGTTGTCTGGCATTCCTCAAAGATCTGTGTTAGGTCCAATTCGCTACTTAATTTATACTAGTAATCTTTTTGGTATGTTGCATCTCTGCGATATGCATATGTATTCTGATGACGCTCACCCTCATTTTTCCTTTGATCCTACTCAAGTGCATATTTCTCAGAATTACAGGTGTCTCCGAAATTCGTGTACAACAGAAGACCACAGATTCCTTGGCTCAAAATAGGTCGATTTAAGTTAAGTTATCTATATCCAAAGTTGCTTCGTTTCGCCGCTGGAGGACTTCAAAGTTAGCAAAAAAAATTCTTTTATTTTTTATAACTCGAAAACGCGTAAATCAATTGACACATTTTTCAGAAGTGAGTTCCTAGGTTCAATTAACGTGTTTTTACGGTTTTCTATATATTTTTAGTAACACAGGAATGTTGGAAATGTCATGTGTTCACCGAATATTACTCCATATTTTTTTTTTCTGACCAGGCGAAATTTTTGAATAGCTCATTTAGTTCTAAACCGTTTTTGTCTCTTATAAGATTTTGATTACATAAGTGGTTAAGCCAGAAAAAAAGTATTTTTAAATATCTGCAAGCCTTGTTTACGTCATTGCAGTTACAAAAGTTGCATAAATTGCAATTTATGTTTAACGTGAATACAATATCATTAATGAATCAAAAGCGTGGGAATTCAATGATCCTCAAAGCATACAATGTTAGGAAAAAACGTAGTCGTATTTAACCAATATCAATTTAATGGTCGCAAAAGCGTTCGAGTCTATAGGGAAAAGTTTCGAGTGCAAAATCACCAAACGTTTGGAAATATTATAAGACGTCTCGGGGAAACAGGTAGCTTGAACCAGAAACACACAGACCGTGGATGTCAACGTACAAGACGAACTGTAGAGTTGGAAGAAAGGGTTCTTGAAAGAGTGGCAGAAGACCCTAAAATTAGTACGAAGCGCTTAGGAAATCAACTAGAAGTCTCTAAAGGTGTACCATACCACCATCAAAAAGTGCAAGAGCTTTTACCCATGGATCACGAAATGCGTTTGACTTTCTGCAAACTCATCCAAAACGAAAGAATCCCCGACTCACATTTTAGTAGAAGGATGTTATTCACAGATGACTGATGAGGCAACGTTTACCAGATCTGGTATCACTAACATGCGTAACGATCATGTTTATGCTGAAGAAATTCCGCATATGACCACAGCAGTCCATCATCAGCATTAATTCAAATCCAACAATATCCTGGTCGATGGATTGGAGGGGAACTGATGCCCCAATAAAATGGCCAGGAAGATCACCAGACCTTACACCGTGTGATTATACTCTACAATTGATAGTGAAGTGGAATTACGCAGAAAAATTTTCTTAACATTTAATACATTAAATAATCGCGAAACAATGGACAACAGAGTGCAATTGAACTTTTTACGACGAGTAAATTTATGTATTTTGAAAAACGGTGGTCATTTTGAACAATTTTTGTAAATATTTCCTACTTGTTGTAATTGTATTTGTTGTGTTTATTGTTACCTTTTGTTTCTTAGAATTGATTAAAAGTTTTTCTTTCTAGTACTAAAACAATTAAATACAACTACGTTTTTTCTTAACACTGTATGCTTTTAGGATCATTGAACTCCCACGCTTTTGATCAATTAATGATATTGTATTCATGTTAAACATAAATTGTAATTAGTTGAAATTAGTGCCAACTACGATGAGGTTTTGTAATTGCAATGACGTAAACAAGGCTTGCAGATATTTAAAAATACCTTTTTTCTGGCTTAACCACTTATGTAATCGAAATGTTATAAGAGACAAAAACGGTTCAGAACTAAATGGGCTATTCAAAAATTATAATAATGTAATTGTTGCCTGGTCAGAAAAAAAAATGGAGTAATATCCGATGACCACATGACTTTTCCATCATTCTATTATAATTATATTATAAAAAATAAAAGAATTTATATTAATTCTATATTAATTATGATTTAGACAAATTGATTCATCGTGCTTCCAAACTGTGCCTAAATATTAATCCGAATAAGTCATCCATTATGGTTTTTGGGAATCTGCAGCAAGCTTAGGATTTTTGAGGCAGAGTTTTCCAATTTTTCCCGATTTCGTCGTCTCCACTATTTGACACTTATTGCATACAAAATTCAAAAATTTGATCTTGACAGATAAATTATCCCATGTCTTTCTATGCTTTAAAGTCAGCAGGATAGCTTAGTTATTCATAATTGTTTACGGATTTGCCTAAACTACCGACTTGCCTCTTGCGACCCTTGTTGTTTTCCTTCATTTGGGTCAATCATCTGAATGTAGCTTAGATATAAAATTCAGAATGTCGGTTTTTTTCTTTTTTCGATGTCCGATATTCGAGCCTTTCTCACTTTGTACATTTTTGCAAGGTGAGATCCACCCTTCTCGAGTCCACTCAAAATCTCCACTTTATTTTCAATCATAACAAACTTAATTACGTAAATATTAACAAACTGAACTGTATACAGAAAACATTGTGCGAACAGCTTAATACGGTGCGAACAACGCTGGGAGTTCTCCGGCTATTGTTTATCGCTAAGATGCGTCTATATACAGCGCCAAGCGACGTTAAGTGCTGAAAATGCGTTAAAAATCCCAAATATCTAAATAAAATTTAAAAGCCCAGCACTAAATTTATTTTTCAGCGTTTCATATTTCAAATACGATTTTTAAAACGTCCGCCTTTTGATACCATAAAATCGAAATTTTCTCAGCTATATCTCGAAACATCTTTTTGTAACCAGCAAATGATTTAAAGGATACTTGAACGTTAAACATATAGAAAAGTATTATCGTGGCCATATCGCAGCAAAAGCTCTATGTTTTCTGGAACTTGTCAGATATCCTAAACGACATTATTATCTACCAAGGTTCTACTACAGTATTCGACAAATTCTATATACAGAGTCTATGACAAAGCGCTTAATGGAGTATCTATAGATGATAAGTCGTAACAGTTTTCTATTTAACCAAAATTTTAAGCTTTTTGGAAATATTTAAACTGGATACAGACTGCTATAAACTTGTCGCTTATGTTGGGAAATTTGTGCATCTCAAATATCAAATAACAATATTATAAATCCAAACATATTTGTCGAAAGTTCTAAATTCAGACTGATACCAGACAATCGTAAAAGGTGTTCATTTTTATATTTTGAACTAAAAATTTGTTTTATTTTGCAAGCCAGTACCTCTCTTATTTTGGATAGTTGCGTATAACCATCTATTACGGCGTTTTAATTCCTATAACACCGAAAAGTGGTACTTTTTGTGAAAGCTGATCTTCTTCTGCTTCTTCAAACTTATTGAAACTGTCTTACAGTCTATCCTTACAGTGGAAGATGAAAAGAAAAGTGCAGTACACTTTAAAATATAAACAATGAGCATGTATTGTAGTAATATTTTGTACTTTTTATATCTTGTTTTGTTTTCTCTGGTTGATATAACAAACAAATCGATAAATTCGTCGCAAATTGTTTTTGGCAAACATTGTTTTCCATGGAGATATTCCCCATTCGCTAATTTTACTTATTTTTTTCTGCTAGATAAATATCACCTCCCATTTTCATTGGCGTCATTCTTTTAGATTTTTCAAACTCTATTTCATTCAACTCTTAAACGAATTCTTCAACACGTACTAAACCAATTCAATAGTAATTATTTACATAACTGGACCTTGTGCAAGCATGAAAAAATGTATTCAAATAAATCTTTGTATGCAAACATTTAACTAAATATTTAAATTTTCTTTTTTGCAAATTGAAAGCCCGATAAAGACATGTTAACTAGTATTTATGAAATTTGTAGTATTCTTTGTATCCAGATCTGAGTATGATTATGAATTACCGTATTTTCTCGAATCTAATCCGCACCCTTTTTATAATTTTAACCAACTTTTTTTACCATCATTGCATTTTTAAAATCGAGGTGCGGATTAGATTCGAGTGCGGATAAGATTCGAGAAAATACGGTACTTCTCTAATACCTGATTGCAAATTAACTATGTTACATAACGCTTTATATCAACAACATGTTCAATATCGCCGAAGTAATTTATGGTTTGATGCAGATATGAAAATTAACTGTTTTAAAATGTAGTCTTGTAAAA